GGTGTCTACTAAGAGTTTATTAATTTGCCGTACAAGGTCATCGATGAAACTAATAGAGGCGGAAGTGCATACATGTGTATCAAGATCTGTTTCTGCGCTGTTCACGACTCAATGTATCAGACGTGAGAACTGTTTTAAAACTCAGATTTTAAAATCATTTCTGGTCATGCTTCTTTTTTATTTCTTTCGTTGATGGGTGTTCTGGAACGGATAAATTGTGTTGCTAAGAATCAGAAATGCGGGAAGGGTAGTGAAAATTACACGTAAGATAAAAATGAACGTAAAGCCATTCAGTCAAAATAAGCGCCTATTAGACATTGCAAACGCCTCATAACATTGCGGTTGCTGTAAAACTGCATAAGACCTAAAACTCAACTTTGCTCTAAAGCCCTGAAAAAAATAAAGGAGCAATAGGTAGAAAAAAGTGAAATTTTGAGGCATGGGTATAGTAGAAGCATTTTGTCAACAAGAAGAACTTAAGATGAAGACAAGTACTATTGACTGCAATCTCGTTACTTTTTTACGAACATTGGCTATTCTACGTTGAGAAATACTGAATATTTTAAATGATTTTGACAGTCATAAAATAATTTTGTAAAGCGCCAGAAAAATAAAAACGAAGGAAAATTTTCTTTAAAGACTGCAGTTCCTTAGCGGAAGAAACTTGTAATAGGTAAAGGAGGGTTTCGTAGTTCACTGTTTATTTGGCAAACGCATTTTACATTTGGAATGTAAGGCTCAGAGATTAACCATGTTGAGAGCGGCACAGAATCACATAAAAACCAGTGTGGTTAAAAGAGTACAAAAGCTGGAAAATGTATCCTATAGGTGTGCTTTTGTTGCTGCTGTTCAGTAGAGTGGTAGAAGTGCTTCGATGAGTGAGTTTCAAGGGAAAAAAGTAATAAATTTCTGTTATTATTGATTCGCCTAAAATTTTGAGTTAGTAACTTTTACGAATTCCCAAAGTAATAAGCGGTTTGTTTTTCGAAAAGCTTGTTCGGTATTGAACTTTTTGATTAGGATCAATAGTTGTTAGCAGTTTTTTGTTTAGCTGCGAAAATTTGCCGTGATAAAAGCGAGTGTCACCCAAATGCCCACTGTGTCTTTAATGCTGAAAATAGTCGATATGTGTGTGAGTGTTTGAATGGTTTCGATGGTGATGGTGTACGTGAATGCCGGCGAGTTGGTATGCAAGATACTTGTTCTTCTTCACTCCTCTTAGAACCTCTTCTGGAATTAGTTACTGTTGTCGCACAGTAAATAAGCGTCGATTCAATACGATGTTAATGTTATTTTAGCTGAATGCAATCCTGCGAAACCGGGAGTATGTCATAAAAATGCAAAGTGTGAATTTGACAGTGATGCAGGAGCTTTCAAGTGCAGGTGTATCGAAGGCAAGCTTTTTGTCTCATTTGCAGTTGAAATTTTGTTGAAAAAATCTTTTTATAAACAGCTATGATTCTGCTTTTTTTTAACCGTTAGAATGTTACGTGCAACCGATCATGACCACTGGTCAGTTGTGGTCAAACGGCCAAATTTTTTCTCCGATACGTTTAATTTTTTCTTTCTTCTTTGTTTATTGTTTTTGTACTCGTATTTATGCGTTTTTAGATTGGTGTTAGCCTGTGTGAAGCAGGAATTAAAAGTTCATGCTTTTTGATAGGCAGGTCATATTGTGATGGTTTAGGGTTCAAGGGTGATGGAGTCAGCTGTCACGAAATAGCTGCTGACGGATGTGACAGACAGCCATCACAGTGTCATCACGAGGCGCAGTGTACATACAGTGATGAGGAGCGTCGTTTCGTTTGCGTTTGTAAACCTGGTTGGATAGGAGACGGATATAGAAACTGCCAAATAACACGTCTGACATAACCATGCATACATTTTCTTATTTTTTTTTCACTGTACTTCAGAGTCCTGAGTTTTGTAAAGAAGGGTTTAAATCCAGTTTTTTGAATAACCGCTCTCATTTCCGCTATTGTTTTCACGTGTCCGCCATAAATAACAGTCTCTATTTAGCAAGTCAGAAATGCGCGCAGTGTTCTGCACATGCTCGTTGCGTTGCCAACTCCGATGGCGAATATGGATGTGAGTGTCTCCCTGGTTATCAAGGAAATGGCCAAGTTTGCTCTCCATACAGTTCAGTTTTTCCTCTTCTTTTTGTTTTAATATAATTAATGTTTCTTTTGTGCAATTACTCATTTTCGGAACTCTTTTTGTCTATTTAAAGCAAAAGGTTAAAAACTTTAGCAAGTTGTTTAAATGATCGGTCTATTTGTGATGCGAATGCGCAATGTATCCTAAATGAGCAAAATCACTACGTATGCAATTGCAATTACGGTTATCGCGGAAATGGACGTGTTTGCACTCGTAAGTGTCTTAATTAATGTCATCTGAAGATCGGTTTCGCTGTTTTTCCTCTTCAAAGCTTCAGAGGATATTGTTCCAAAAAGTTTTTAGCTGTCACAAACAACCGCGATATGCTCCTCATTGCTCGCGGAATATCAATTATCGAAAGAGGTATGAGCCAAGATGCTGTGGGGAAGCAGGTACGTAGTGTGCTTTGATTTTTATTTCTTTGCAAAAGCACAGTTGTAAACTTTCCCTGAATTTTATGATGCTGTTTAGCTGTTCTGTGTCGAGTCGTAGACCTTTTCCATTTGGTACAGCAGATTTCTTTAGGTACTATTGAGATTTTGTAACTTTGATTGTTTTTTGTTGAACTATTGTTCTATAGTTATTGGAAGAAATGGCCTGCGTTTTCAACTTCGCTTTTTCTGCTTTTTTATATGAAAAAATTGTTAACTAAATAATTTTTCTGGCGCACCTCGGCAAGACAAAAAGAGATGAGTATTATCGTCAGCTTCTACTTGATTGAATGTTCAATTTTTAAATTCTTCTTTTATTCGGTTTTTGGTTAAAATGAAACAATTATCAGTACTTTTTTATGGTAATAACAAATATTTATAAAGACCAGAATTTAAGTTAGAGCAAGCACAAATTCTCATTTTATTTTGTTTTTTTATCCTCTCTATTATGCCTTTTCTTTTTATTTGACGGCTATTTAGATGGAGTTCCTTAAAATGCAAAAAAAGCCCGCTTTTGACCTTTATCTTCAACTTTTCAAATCTGAGGTGAAATTCTAGCAAGTAGCAAAGTTCAAAGCATTTTCAAGCTATTACTCAGTAAAGTGTGCGGTATGGTTCGGCATGACAAATATATATATTTTTGCTTTTCTTAGCTTTTTATAGTGTTTTAAAAACCTGTGCTTGCATTTTAGAAATGTTGTTTCTTGTAAAGATAAGGAGAAGGAAATTGACAGTCAAAGAAAATCTTAGTTATATTTTTTTTCTTTGTTATTCGTGTCATACATTCCTGTTTCTTGGTCATCAAAACGTTCTTTCTGCTTTCTTCCTGTAGTTCCAACTGTGCCTCAAATATTCAGTGTTTTTTAAAGTAATCTTTTTATTTGTAGCTGATCGTTAGGTCAGGACAGGTTATTGTTGGATTAGCTTATGACTGTAAAGAAGGCCGAGTTTACTGGACAGATATTAAAGGTATTACTGTTATTATAATGCGTCTTATTGACAAAAAGTGAGGCTATTTCTTTCCTGTCTTTTGAGCACTTTGAAGGCAAGACCTGGTTAGTCAATTTTTAGGACCTGTTCATTCTGCATTCCTAAACGGAAGCAGTGTGAAAAAATTGACACAACTTGCTAGTCCTGAGGGTATTGTTGTTGATGCATCTTCGAGGAACTTTTACTACGTGGATGCACAACAGAATCGTCCGGAAATTGGTGTTGCCAGATTAGATGGCACTTACCGTAAGACGCTGGCAAAAGAAGGTCTTAATCAGCCTCGTTATCTCGCTCTTGACATGAAAAATAGGTCTGAGGTTTTCAATGTTAGAAACGATGTTAAACACAGCAACTATACTTTTTTTATAAAAGTAATTATTTTCATGCTTCTAGTTGCTAAAACTTTCCTAAACTTGGCTTCTGAAAGATTTTTTGATTGAATAGTGGTTAAAAAGTATTTGATGAATTGGTAACTTTCTTTTTTGTTTTTGGATGCGAATTACCCATTGCAGACACCTGTATTATTCGGACTGGCACAGAGCTCATCCTGTTATTGGGCGGATGAATCTAGATGGTACAGAAAATGAAGCATTTATAGATACCGAACTGAATCTTCCAAACGGTAAATATTGGTTTTTCTGATTCCAGAAAGCCGCAATAATTTTTCTTTATTTGAAAAACTTATTTGGTTTAATTATTTTAATGGTACCCGGCTGTCTAGTGTGCTTTTTTTTTAAAGTGAACAGACGGTGTTCTTTGGTTAATAATTTGCCTCTGTAGGCTTGGCCGTTCTCGAAAGCAGGGATGAGCTTTGTTGGTTGGATGCTGGAATGCACACACTGTCCTGCATGGGTCTTCGTAACAGAGTGCGGCGCACCGTCTATGCTCCTCTGCAGTATCCGTTTGGTTTAACGGTACACGAAGACAGGCAGTTCTTTTGGACTGATTGGAAAGAGTCAGTTGCTTTTATCTTAAACTTGCTCTTGGCCTTTATAGCACTTTTAACAAGAATATTTCTCCAGAATATCAGACTGTTGTCAGAGTATTACAGCAAATTACTGGTTGTTTAATTATGTAATGTCATCTCGTAAAGGATTTCTGCGCTAGAAATTTCTTCAGTTTTTTTTTTTTTTTGAAGAAACATTGTAATTAAACTTTTTTAATTGGAGTATTTATTTAGTGGACAACTTCACACGGTTTCAATTGACGGTCACGGCTACCAGAATTTCCCCATTACCAATAGTGCTGCTGGCAAGCCATATGGTTTAATTGCAATTCCATCATCTTGCAAGCTTGGTAGGTTATTAGTTGTTCTTGTCGCTTGCTTTCGTTTTTTAATTTTTAAAAATTTTTTGGACAATGCTTACGAGGAAAATTCTATAAGGATTTTTCAAAATGAACTGCAGTAGTGCTTCTGAATTATATTTGCTAATCTTATGTCATTTTTTATTTCTTAGAACCTACTCCCTGCTCAGTTGATAATGGCGGTTGTCCCTACTTGTGTTTGCCTGGGCAGCACCGTGCCCACTGCGTTCAACCCGATAACGTTGAAGGCCTTGAAAAGTGATAAAAAAGGATTTTCAAAAGGGCCCTTCCTGTTTGTTGTTGTTTTTACAGATTTCATTTTGTTAAAATTCCAACTTTTTATAGAATTTTATTAACTTTTTAATAAGATGGATTTTCTGTTTTTGCACTGTATTTAAGGGGTTTTACCGTTTCACACAAAACAAGGGCTTTAAATAATTTTTTCAATGCATATCTTTAAGAATATAGCCGGACTTGAGCACTTAATAGCATAAGTTACGGCTGGGCATTATACAAAACTTGCATCATTAGCATAAGTTTAGTAGACTTCACAAAGGTTTTTTTTAAAATTTATTTAAATTTTTCACACTTTTTCTCCCAACAGCACTTTCATTTCACCTGCCTTATTTGGGTACCTTTATCTTTTGTCCTTTCTTAGCTAATTTCCTCTTGCCATTTTAAGTGACTGTTTTATGCGATACTGTTATGAGCTAGCTGGTGAATCTTGACATTACTGGCGGAAAAACTGAAAAATAAATATTTATAATCGTACTTTCGTTGGTCAATTGAAGTGATGTCCTACAGTGCAGTGCAGAATGGGAGTTTTAGTGATGACTATTTACCATGATTTGTATTTTTAATATTCTCTTGTCATTATGATTATTGTTGTTATTATTATGGTTATTACGACTACCACCGTTACTTTTAAAGTTGTTGTAACAATCATTATTGTTGTTATTATTGCTGCCACAGTAGTTATCACTTTACTCCCAACTGTGTCTTATTAGAATGATATGGAGAAAAAAAAACTACGTCAGTAGATTATATTTGTTAAATTTTGGAGTGGCAAGTCACTGAGCGGGTTTGAAGGCGTAAATTAACACTGGTTCATCTTGGTGTTTCTAGGAAGTGAGGAGTCTCAATGTCTAAAGATATTTAATATAGTGATGCTTTAGTATGCCAAATCATAAGCGAGTGTTTTGCGATGGGCCCTGACATTGGGGTCGGAGTTCACCTCTTGCGGCGGAGTAAAAACCTGACGGTAGTCGATACAGCACAATTCGCAGTTGAATTTTGGTGCCTTCAAAGCTGAAGGTAGAGAGTGGTAAGCTCGAACGGCGGGTGGAGTCATACTATTCTTAATTTCTTTTTTTCTTTACAGCAGATATTCCTTTTTAAAAAGTCCGAATTTTGGCAAAAAAAAGAAAGAAAAATAAGTAAAGTCACTTTTTGGATGAATGAATTCTAAACGATGGGATACCTTTCTAGAAAGAAATAACCATTCAACTCCAAAGAAAAAGTGAACTTTTCTTGGAAGCAAAGAAATTCTTAACATTTACAAAAAAAAATTTGAAAAGTTCATGGTTTTAGTGGTTGACCTTAGAATAGCAGTTTTAGTTTTCTTCTCAGGTAGCTCATTAGGGCGAAAGGAGAGACTTATTGGGTTCTTTGTCGGACTCTTCTTACTACTTTTGAAAGTCATATATTGGTTGGTATATCTTAAACGTAAAAACTACTTGGGATTACATTAGCCTTCTTTTGGCTTTTTTTTGTAATTCAAGAAAGTGCCAATGCTAAATCTTTAATTAGACGATAAAACTTTCCATTCTTTTACAGTACTTCAATTTTTAGTGAATTTCTTACCTGCCGAAATAAGCCGATACTGCTGTAAATACTTCTTTTTTCCTGCAGGATAATTATTCACCTCAAGTAAAAGGTCTGCGACTATCTCTACTTCTACTTCTACGATGAGTTACCGTAGACATGAGCAACAAACAGTCTACTAAATTAAGGACACTTCATATTAAATATAAACTGCAACAAAGGACCTTAAAATTCCCACACAGGAAGGAGCAAACTCAAAATACGTCTAGAAATTAAAAATCGAATAAGTTTGATCCAGCTGAAGAGGAGAGCAAATTGGTCGTAGAATTGCTTTAAAACAGCTGTTGATACGGTCGAGCAAAATGATGGAGTAACGAAGGAACGACGACGAAAGCAGACTTCTTAAAAACAAAACAGTTAGCGCGGAATTTTTTCAAACCAAAGTTTCTAATAATCGATTCTTCCTACTGATGGGTGTCCTTTGCATCATTATAAATTTTGTAAACAAATTTGAGGTGTTAAAAAAAATTTGGATAAATTTAGAGTAGTTATGAAATTGCTATGAAGGATTCCTTATATAGATTCTAATAAATTGGAACGGCTGCTCGAAAGAAATGCAAAGAAACTAAGGTATCAGTTTAGGGTTAGCTCTACCACTGTCCTTAAATTTTACAAAATAAGGTTCATGCTTGTAAACTCGCCAATTCAGCGAGTCTCAACTGCTGTGCACTTATTGAACAATTACCTATCTGATATGTCCGCTAACATTTCTCGACAAACTCTGTAATCCTATATTTCGGGGCAACCAAGTGTACCAAAACCTCGTAATAATTACTTTTTGCTCACTATCTTCAAATAGATTCCTAGAGAAGTCATCTGAAAGCGTTTTGAGGAGTTGCATAGGAAGAGGTTTTTGACCGCAACGAATCGTTGAGGAAAAGGTATCTATCAGAGCACTGTTTAGGGTTTTCGTTGTGAGAACTTGCAAAATTACTGTTAAGTTTTCGCTGATTTTCTGTCTTTTCCATTGTAACAATAAAAGAATTATGAAATTACTTTCTTCCTAACCTTTCTACTTTTTAAGACACGTGAGATTAGTTTAGTTTTGGCCAATGACACTAGAGATGTTGAACGAAACTGGCAGTTTTGGAGTTCTATTCGTTCTAAGACTAACTGTGGCAGTAAAATCTTTTCATTTATTCTCCAAATTTTTGCCGCTTGATTGCGTGAGCACAAAATTTCATCATAAGCTTTGTCTGCTACTCCCTGGAAAGCAAAGCTTGCGAATGCTGTAACTAGACTAATAGCCTAATTGTATACGAAATACAACAAAATAATAGAGATTCTGCTTACTGCAAGGTTTACTTCCTTCAAAGAAAAGCGTGAGGTCTTCTCACGACCGCCGCTTAAACGATTAAACAGTTTCTCCTATTGGCTTTTCTGGACTCTAAAACTACCGCTTATTCTCTAGTAAATGGTCAGGATCGTCCATGAATTTCCAACTGAATATCTTCAAGGAGACTTCTCCTTGTCAAGATTTTGTTAAACTTAATCTATCCTTGTTTCCTCTTCCCCTCCCTTGAACTGTGTCTTCCATTCCAGCAGCTCTTTCCTCTGAAATTTCCTACTGTATTGCAAGGTCATTTTCACTCTTTTTCTCGAAAACCCATTGAACCTCTATGACCTGACGTCATTCTTGGCGTCTTTTCCATCGTTAGCCTTGTCTGGTTACCGTCCATTTTACCGTCTAACAGAATATTATCTAAGTCATCAACTTCTAATCTCATAATGGCCACTTTTATACAGCTTCTGTACAAATGACCACTGGTCAACTAAATCTTGATCCTCGCTTTGTTCCTTACTACACAAAGTTCTATGGCCAATACCCGCCCGTTCTCCCGTCAATCCCATCCACATGAGACAAAAATTGCTGACGGGCTCATACGCTAGCCTTTCACCAGATACCAGTCTCCCTCACCTTTGCTGGAATTCTGCGAGTGATCCAAAAGCAGTCTTCGTGCATCCGCATGGCATAAAATGCTGTGATCTTTTGGGATTGCCGTTTTTTTCGCACATGATCGCGAAGGGACGCCAGCCCTAAAGGTATGAACCGTGAGCCGCGCCTGAGAGGAGCTCTTGGAGGGTAGAAAGCAGGCCGCTGTAAAATGGAACGTCAGTGTGAGCACGAAATTCTATTCAGAGGATTATTTAGAGCTTTAAAAATAGCGCTTGAGCTCTTGAAGCTATGTAATGCCTCAATAGTTATTTCCTATTTTTTAATTTACTTCGTTCGTTCTTCTAATTTTGATTTTACTAGCCGTAGCCTTTCGTAACCATGGAAATATAACACTTTAAGTTTTAGGCATGTCTTTTCTGGTTTTTTTTGTGCTAGTTTGTTTCTTTTATGATTTATTGCGACTATTTTTCTTTAGAGTTTGGGTCCAAAAGTTTTTTTTACAATTGTATCAAAACTCAATATTTTGTTCACTGTCATCATTAATGACTTTCGAGGCAATAAAACAGTAAAATATAGTAGTAATTATATATAATAATACTTTTGTATGATGTTACAATTTCTCCCGGCTACCAAATCCAACTGACTCTAAGAAGAAGAGTGCAGGTGTTAAAGTCTTCAAAGAAGAAGCGACTCAAAAAGGTTCTTTAAATTGGTTGATGGTGTGATACAGCGAGCAATTAAGCGCTTCTTGCAATAGAGTTGAGCGTTTAGGTTTCCATAAGAACATGTGGGGGAGATCGTACGATACAGTAAGTGTTTCCCTTGTAAAGATTTTTCGATTAGTTCTGACACATAATAGATGTCTTTACTCCTGTTTTTTTTAAACCTGCCATAAAATTCTTTGTGCGCTGCTAGTTGATAATCCGAAAAACGACTAAAAATCTCCGAAAAAGTAAAATACCTGTCTTGCTCCTGGTTATAAAAATTAACACTTATTTTACTCCATAAGGTTGATTCGGCTTCTTGAAAAACTTCTTCAGCGGTTTTATTTTAATTTTCTTGTCAAAACTACTCTGAAGAAAGGAACGAAATTTTTATTTGGTTTTTTTGAGATTTTCACCTGCATATTTCATCACGGTGTAGCAGATATTCTTAAAAGATATATAGGCGCCGTCATTTCTAATTTCCATTTCGTGG